ATTAACCATTATGCATGAATTAATTTAAAGAGAAAGTAAACTTACATAACAATCTTTAAATGTCGAATCCATATACAAGCTTCTCCAAATACAACATACAATAAGAAAAGAAAATAAAAAGAAGAAGAAGAAAATGAAAAGGGAAGAGGGGAAGAACCCTCCTTGGTTCAAGCTTGCATGGAAGGTGATAAAAATGGTGCATTATGGGTTTATGGATGATAGATATATATAGGGAGAGGTAGATAGTAAGTGGGAGCATGTTGTTCATCAACTTTGTCATGTTTTTAGCTGAAAATTCGGTCCCAAGTCTTCCCCCACTCTTAACCACCATGAAAATAGGTAAGAAAATGAGGTTTCAGCTGTCTGTCAGCCAGGTTAGCGCCGTTAATGGTTCTTAGCGCCGCTAAGAAAAAACTGCACTGCGCTACTTCACGGTTTTGGCTCGTTTGGGCTCGTTTGAAGTCGGAATTGAGTTCCGTTTTTTCCTACGCGTAGCTAACGAACCCCTCTATCTAATGATGCTTACAAAACACACTTTTTCCCAAAGTAAAAATTATGTTGAATTTCTAATCTTTAAAGGGTCGGTAATTTGCGTTGCTTTGCGTTTTGGTTCCGTCCGGATTCATCCGAACTCGAAATCAACTTCCGTTTTCTCTTATGTGTAGCCAACGAGTCCATCTACATAACCATGATTGTCTGGTCTATAATCAACTACTCACGAGACTTCCAAACCTGCACACCAAAAACGAAGAAAAACCGGAAAAACACACGAAAAACACAAAGAACACCAAAATAGAACAAAACACAAAATAAAACACAAAACGAACTAAAAACCAACTAAAAGACCTAAAACGGGAAGAAAAGAATGATAAAATAATAACAAAAATTGCAACAAAAATGGTTACAACAATCTTCAGTCCTGTGATCAAGCCAGTCACAGTGAGAATGGTTCTTACCATAGCTCTGTCCAAAGGATGGATAATAAAGCAACTGGATGTTGAAAATGCTTTCTTTCATGGATCTTTGGACAGCTCAACTTAGATTTATATGCAACAGCCTCCAGGATTTGAATTGAATACTCATCCTTCACATGTTTGCAGATTAAAGAAAGCCATATATGGGTTGAAACAGGCATCTAAAACTTGGTTTGACAAACTTAGGATGGTTCTTAAACAGTTGGGATTTGAATCTTCATTAGCAGATGCCTCATTGTTTGTGAAAAAAGGTCATCTCTCCTTGCTTTACATCATAGTGTATGTGGATGACATGATTATCACTGGCAGTTCTACTTCTGACATTGAGGCTACAATCCAAACCTTATCACAGGCCTTTCCCCTCAAGGATATGGGACCATTACATCATTTTCTTGGGATTGAGTTCAACCAAACTCCCAATGGAATGCTCCTCACTCAACAAAACTATCTGCTACAAATATTATCCAAAGCAAAGATGGAAAACTCCAAAAAGCTTTCCTCTCCAATGTTGAGCACTCCTGCTTTGTCCAAATTTGCAGGATCACCCTTTCATGATGGCTTATTATACAGGCAACTCATTGGGAGTCTTCAATACCTCACCATCACTAGGCCTGACATCACCTATGCTGTGAATAAGCTAAGCCAATTCATGCAAGCACCATTGGACTCTCACTGGAAATCAGTAAAAAGACTTCTGAGATA